TACTGCTATCATGTCCCCCCTCGTCCTTCTCTTCATTAAACTAGACATATCCAATTCCAGCAGCCTTTCCTTATATGCTTTAGCCTCCAGCCCCCTAATCATCTTTGTTGCTCTTCTCTGTACTCTTTCTAGAGTCTCAACATCTTTTTTACATCGTGGTGACCAAATGTCAGGGTACAACTTGGAGCAAGTCCTTTCTAGGCATCCTCACAAAGCAGACAATTTTGATTTGGATCAGCAGTCCTTTATACATCTTAGCATTATAACAATAGCAGTAGCACTTAGACTTTTATATTGCTTCATAGTGCTTTACACAGCATTCCCTAAGCAGTTTACAGAGTCAGCATATTGCCCCCAACAATCTGGGTCCTCAGTTTTCTCAACCTTGGAAGGAGAAAAGGCTGAGTCAGCCTTGAGTTGGTCAGGATCGAACTCCTAGCAATGGGCAGAGTTAGCCTGCAATACTGCACTTTAACCACTGTGACACCACAGCTCATATACAGTATATATTGAGAGAGATTTAAAACTAATAATCAACACTAGAAATTGGTCCTGAAAGCTTTCTGGTAATCCCCGCAGGGACTACTAAAAGGCCATAACTTTGGACTATCAGATTTCTACAGTCATTGCATGATGTGCCAGTTGTAGCTTTCAAGCCATTGTCAAAAATATGGAGCGTATAAAGGCTCATCAAAATTCAGTGACCATTCTTTTAAATTTATTCATCTTGCCACTTCTTTGAGGTACAGGCTGTCATTTGCACATCAAGCAAAAATAATCCAGTGCATCCATAGCATCCATGCTAGTCTGAACTGATTATTTAAGCGTTTGAAGGTCCACCAAGTCAGTTGAATAAATGCAAAATAAACAATTATCCCACATGTATCTATGTAAAATGTTGTTGCGGTTTAAAAAAAGAATCACTTCTTGTAGTCAGGAAGTGTACAATTGTTCTGTTTTTATTTCTCCCTCAAGTAGGGAATCACAGATCACAAATCCACTTTCATATTCTACCTTTAGGCCTTCTTTGTAACTTTTTTCTTTCTGCCAAAGCATAAAGAAACAGTAATACTCGACTCTCAGGCATCTCCTTCTTGCTGTGCTATGTGATTTGGCAGAGAACAATTAGTGTATCCTGTGATGCAACTCGATTTGCTGGCTTCCATTGCTCAGTGAGGAAGAATTGATCATTAAGTTGATAAAGCTAGGCTATTGGCTTAAAGAAATTAGAACGGACTAAGAAAAAAAAGCAGTAGGAGTAAAGAGGTGGGAATGCCAATGATCTGTGCCTAGAGATATACAGCCTGTGATTTGAGGATGATTTAAATTATTGAATGTGAAAAATGTGAAATCCACTTCCCTTTAATCTATTTTGCCTGGATGAGCCATCATATAATGCAAGTTGATTTGTAGTTTCTTTGATCCCTTCAGCTTGTCCTCAAGTATATCTAGTTAAGGGATTTTTTTTTTGTTTTTAGCTCCTGAACGTTCTAGCTAAGCTTACCTCACGGTGTGGTTATCATATCCATTATGAATAAGAGAGAACTTGGGGAAAAAATAAACCTTATTTGTTCTCTGTTGTTTATTTATTGCAACGGTGGCACACCTTATGAATTCAGCAGCATGGCACAGAGAAAAGGAAGAGATGAAAGGAATGCAAAGCCACTTTTTGGGTAGAAAAGATGAGGTGTTCTGGGTTTCCTTCCCTGAATGTGAAATGCTGAAAAGCTTCACATTCAACATGGGAACAAGGATCGCTTCTTGGTTCACAGCCAGACAGGTAACATCAGCCTGTGTTCCTAAAACAAGCCCAAGGCAATGGCGTCAGCGGCTTTCAAGATACACCAAAAGTGTTGAGAGATATATTAATATTGGACTTAGAGTTAAAACCGGAACTCTTCTTGCTGGGAATAACTACAGAGAAATACAATAAGGGAACAACCTATTTGCTGTTACACATCTTGACTGCAGCTAGGCTTGCATTTGCGCAAAAATAGAAGAGCAAAGAAATCCCCACAGAGGAAGAGACACTATATAAAATATTAGCATGTGCGGAAATGGACAGGCTTACAATGGTTTTGAAAGACAAATGTGGATCAGTCTATTTCGAAACCTGGGATAAATTTTACCGCTGGAGAGATTCGAGGACGGTTGGGATTAAAGACTAGTGTTAAGACAGAAATATATGTTATTTTAGAATAAGTACTGTATATAAAACTTAGATGTATTTCTAGAGATGAAGAATCGATTGTAAAATGTGGAATAATTTGATAAGAATGTATATACTGGAATGTCACATTATATCCAATGTTTTTTTAATTGTATTATAAATAAAATTTTGTAAAAATAATAATAATTATAAAAAGATACACCACAAGTGGAGAGAGAGAAAGAGACAGAGACAAAGAGAATATGTCCATGTGGGTACTAAGTAAGGAAGATAACAGAGATAGGTCACATTCATTACCAAAGCAATGGGGGAGGGCGGGAGAAACATGGCTTAAATTCAAAACAAGATGAAGGAATGCGCTAGCAACTCAGGCAAACACCTCTGGAGGAGAAAGAAATCACAGTCAGATTTACTAGATTCTCTTACTATAGATAATATTAATAAAAGAAACTTCTCAGGAAGCTGATTTCTTCTTTGTGGGTCTGAAATTGATCTTGCAAATCTTTAACATTATACATTCAAATCTATAGAGTTATTTTGGGGCAGGGTGGGACAGAATATATTATGGGTTTTTGCCCTCTATTTTTGAAAATTTTAGATAGCGTTAACCAACCATGTCTGCATATGGAGGATATAAACCATATACAGTCACGGTTACAGAATTGACCAATTCTGGGTAAAAATTCGGAGAGTCCTAATATATCTGGACAACATCAGAATTAATTATTTAACGCTATTTAAATAATTAACAGAGAATCATTTACTACAGCAGAATAAAGAACTTGCTCTGTGGGATCCTGTAGACCAAGCAACCAGATTAGCTAATTCGCAAGAATGGAAATTCTCAGAGAATTATGATAGGGAATTCTATGATGAGTCAATGTCTTTTTTTTTTATCAAACAAAATAATTTCATCTCATTATTTTTTTTCTTCTGCCTGGACTGTACAGTCTCTGCTTTATAATTACAAAAGCAGGGGTTGGTGAAACCCCAATGCAATGATTGACTCACTTAGAGGCTTGTACAAGAAACCATTTCTATCCCTAAAGCAACTTCAGGCAACTCCATCTTAATTTTGTGTGACTCATCATGTTAAGAGTTGGTGGAGCAAAATGGAAGGAAAGGGTGTTGGCCATCAGTTCAGCATTATAAGCCGTATCTCAATTCTTTTTCACCATGCTTGTGTTTCTAAAGCAACGTTCTCTATGTTTCTTTTTCTCCTGCAGATTGAAGACATCTGCTATCACAAGCAATATTGAAGACCCACCTGCTGCTGTATCTACCCCTGTTTTCCTCCCTGCAAATCTGTCTAGAACAATAATAGAATCCTTTGAGAGGTCATCAAAAAAAGGGGATGAAAGAAAGGTAACCCACACTGGATTTCCCGAGGTTGTTTATTTGTTTGCTGATGTTATATGCAATAGAAATTGCATGAAATAATTTATTTTTATTGTTTCCTGTCCTCCTCTCCCACCAAGATACTAGCAATAACTTAAGCAATCATTATACTATACAGGTAGTCCTCGACTTACAGCCACAATTGAGCCCAAAATTTTGGTTGTTAAGTGAGACATCTGTTAAGTGAGTTTTTAACCATCTTTCTTGCCACGGTTGTTAAGTGAATCACTGCAGTGGATAAGTTAATATAAGTGAGTCTGGTTTCCCCCATTGAATTTGCTTGTCAAAAGGTTGCAAAAGGTCATAAGCAATGGTCATAAGTATGAACCCAGTTGCCAAACATCTGAATTTTGATCACATGATCATGGGGATGCCACAAAGATTTTAAGTTGAAAAATGATCATAAGTCACTTTTTGCAGTGCCATTATAACTTTGAATGGTCACTAAATAAACCATTGTAAGTCGAGAATTAACTTAACTAAGTTAATAATATAATATTAACCAAGAGACTTCTAGGAACACCCCATCTGTTTATTCTCTTATATCTAGAATCCAGGTATTTAATATCTAATGACAAGTAAATTGAATACATTCTGATCCAACAAAGGTTAATTGTGATTAAAGCCTACAAAATTTGATTCAGGGTTAATCATGTTAAGAAATTAATGACAACTAACTAGTGTGGATCGCAGTGGATTGACCATCACTGGCTACAAGAACAGAAAATTAGATATCATTTACGTTGTTGAAGCAATAGCTGCATTTCTTTTATTAGAGCATCCAGAAAGTGACTGTAATATTTGATCAAGTTAAAATATTATAGCACAATTAAATTATTTATCCTTATCCAAAGGAGTGAAATATAAAAGAATCTAATGGTACCTTAAAGATTAACCAATGTAATATCATGTCATGTGATAATTAGATAGATAGCAAGCATGTAACGTATCACTTACACTGCTGTTTTTGCTCAAAAAAGTAGTATTGGCCACCTTCAGGGAAATAAATAAAACTGTGAGGGAAAAAATGTGTCTGAATATGTTCATTATCCAACCAGGACACACTTCCATCAGAAAAGAAATCAGCTGAAAATCCCAATGCACAGCTGGGAAAGTATTTAGAATCAGTTCACCAAACAAAATGCTTTGAAGCCTGTACCTTCGGTTGTAAGGCTTGCTTCCACTCGGCAGATATGCATGCTGGATGTATTCTACGAAGATCTATATACAATTTCATTGGAGAATATGTTTTCAAATTTTCCCTCAAGGAATGTAAGTCATATTTATTTATTTACTTACTTACTTACTTACTTACTTACTTACTTACTTACTTACTTACTTACTTACTTATTAGGTTTCTAGTTCACACCAAAAACTTAAAAGCTACAGGAAAAAGCAATATAAATGGAGCTTTTAAGCGTTGTGTTCTAATCTGTGAAAATCTCACTGTGACACATAGTGCTATGTAGAATACATGACACTTACTCCTAGTAATTAGATTAAGTAAATGATGTAGTAATGACATAAATTCAATAGTATATTTCAAAAAAAGATGATGAAATCCTACTGGTTAACCTACCAATAATTCTTTTACCACTTACTAATTTAAATTATCCACTGTTCTGGATTACTGTTCTCAATTGCCGGTCCTTAATTCAGAACTCTTTTTAATGTTTAGTAATGCAGCATTATGTATTATATTTATTGTTATTTTTCACACACAGATAAAAATAACATTAGGAGGGAACAGTAGGATTTTTAGACAAAGATAAAGGTGCCCTCAAATCAAGGTTGGCTCTGATAATGACATAGCCATTATTCTTGGCAACAATATGGTAGTGGTTAGCCAATACCTTCTTTAATATGCTTTTTTGACTTTAAACTCTTACCTAAAGTCTTAGGATCCCTGGTGGTTTCCTATTCAAGTATTAAGCAGCCCCAATTGTATGACTACTTTAAGAATAGCCAAAGTCAGCTAGGTGCTGCTACCTTCTATTGCTAAATTTATATTACTATCAAATGGCTCTATGTCTTACTATGTCACTACAGTACATATATGTGTGTGTTTGTACATACAGTACATATAAGTGTGTGTGTGTATATTAAAAGTAAAACAATGATTGTATCAATAGTTCCACTAATAATAATTCAAATAATTTCAGCTGATCCAAAAGTCCCAATTGAGAAGCTACGATTCACCATGCGGGGAGGTGCTCGTGTTGCTGAACAGATGGTGCATTTGTTGAGAAATGAAGAAAAGGATCTTGTAATTAAAAGATTGAAAAAGGTATTTACTTTTTGGGGGAAGGTAACTTAGCAACCATTCAAGTCCCCCTCCCACCATCATACAGGACCTATAGGCAAACATTTGATGGTGTTATTTTAAACTTTATGGGTTATAGCAGTATCTTTAAATATCATAGAGAACTACATAAATAATTAGTTATATACTGTTAGGATGATATGCTTTTCCTTTATAGATACCAAGTTATTTTGACTTTGAAAATACAATGTGGATTGTTAGGGCTTTATTATGCAAGTAGCTGCATTGGTTAACTGCATTCTCTCCTCTAATTTCTTCAGAAAGAAATCCATCAAATGCTTTGTTCTGCAGAGTAATAAACAAAAATTATATGGTCCTGAGAAACATTTGTTTAAACACAGAGACTATATGTGAGGATGCAGGAAAATCATGGCCTTATTCCACAAAAACAGATTGTTATCCCTTAGGACGAGAGAGGCTATTAGGTTCAAGTGATTAACAATAATAAATAATCCCTAAATTAATACACTCCCAAATTTCATATTGCCAGCACCAAAATTCACTCCTATTATGAACTATGCAGTTTGTTCCATAAATCGTCGTGTAGGCAAGTTGCCAACTAATGTAAACAGCATAGTTAGGACTATGAATATGATTGAGTGCCATTAAATAAAAGAGCAATGCTTACAGTTCATGGAATGTGGCCTATAACAGAGGTTCCCACCTTTTGGGCACCAGGGACCAGTTACATTGAGAGAGATTTTTCTGCAGACTGGACGGGGCGTGGTTTTGTGTGCTGCCTGCATCCTGGTCGATGGGGCTTTCCTTGTTTGTACGGACTGGTTGCTGGCATGCTGTGGTCCAGTACCGGTCCACCGAATGGGGGTTGGGGACCCCTGGCCTATAAGATTCCATGAGGGCAACCTTCTGCAAGAAGTCCATTTACCCAGATAAATTCAAACCTGGATGAAATGAAGGTACATAATAATAATAATAATAATAATAATAATAATAATAATAATAATAATAATAACAACAACAACAACAACAACAACAACAACAACAACAACAACAATAATGTTGGAAGGGACCTTGAAGGTCATCTAGTCCAACCCCTCCCATATATGCATCAATCTCCCACAATCCCACTGCCCATTCCTACATGCTAACTACTCAAGTCAGAAACATATGATTGGAAATCTCAGCATGACCGTTTAGCATTAAGCCAAATGCAATTATATTATCTTCTGCTCAACCCATCAGTATCTTCAGAAGAATCTTGCTCTTTAGGAAAGTTAACCCTCACTTTTTCAATATGTTGGATTCATTTCTGCTTGCTTCATAATAAGACAACTGTGCAGAGAAATCTGTGCTTTTAACCTTTACAGTATTGCTCTTGGAACATTAATTCTGCATATTAATTTGCCTAAACCTTCAGATTACATGAGATGACAGATATTCTTCTCTCTGGATATATCCCATGCTAGATCCATCCAGATAGCTCTGATGAGAGCATTGAAAGTTCATCAAGCAGTGATTTTCAGGAGAGTGGTTTAAAGAAAATTATAGGTCTAAAACAAGTTCTTACCAGCCAGCAGCAAGATAATGAACAACAGGAACAGGATCAGAAGAGGCCTCAGTTCCAACAGAATCATCATCTGGAAAAAAAGCAACAACTTAATGATACTAGAAGCAGCAGCAGCAGTGATACCAGAAGCAGCAGCAGCAGCAGTGATACCAGAAGCAGCAGTGATACCAGCAGCAGCAGCAGTAGCAGTGATACCACCAGCAGCAGCAGCAGCAGTGATACCAGCAGCGATAACAGTGACAGCACCCAAAATAATAAGCGTATTAATGGAAGACAGAAAAAGGAGAAGAGTCATCCAAGCACGGAGAAAGATGGGGGAAAAAAGAAACGCACCAAGAGGCCAGCTGCAGACTATGATGAGAAGGTACCCATCAATTCTAACTGGGAGAACTCTTTCCTTGCAATGTGCATTAACTCAAAATCTCTGTTGGTTAGGATATGGTTTGTCTGTTCCTTTAGCAGTGAACATCTAGGAGCACGGTGGCTCACATGGTTAGTATGCTGGGTTGACAATCAGCAAGACCACGTTTGAGACCCAACTGCTGCTGTGTGATGGGGTGAGCTCCCCTCATTTTTCCAGTTCCTGCCGATCTAGCAGTTTGAAAGCGAGTAATTGCAAGTAGATAAATAGGTACCACTTCAATGGGTACATGAAAGGAACCCCCAACTGGGCATCCCCTGGACAATGGTGACGTCACCCACTAATCCTTTCAATCCAGAAGTGCTTCAGAGCTTCCAACATGAATGCATGCATGCAGCAGTGTGCATTTGGGTAACTCTTGCTTTGCTTTTTCTTCTTTGACATTTTGCAGGAACTTGGAGGCCGAGAACTGGCAAACCATCACTTCAGGGAAAGCCAGATCGATCAGGTGAGTTTCAATATTATTGTGATTTTTTCAACTGAACTTTCTTTATATTAAAATGGATAGATTCCAATGCTTGATACTTCCATCCTTCTTTGGAGAAAAGGAATCCAAATAAGACATGATTGTGGAATGCTGCGGGGTGGCAAAGCTGATGCGAAAATAATTTAACTCAAGCAAATCTGTCGGCTAGAGAATGAAGATCAGATTTCGCCATTCACACTCATAAATTAACCAGCAGAGACTGTTTTTTATGACTTACCAGCAAGGTATTTCATATAACTGCTATTATATTTAAGCAAGCATATAAGTTGTCTAAATAAATAAATAAGCCAGTCAATCAATCTAGAAGGCTGGGCAGAGCTCTGAAGCTGCAGAGAAGCTTCCAGAGAAGTGCTGCTTGGAAGCAAAGAAAGACCTAATTCCAAATGCTGGAATGAGTGGTGACCTCCCTTCAATCAAATTCATAAAAAAAAGAGTGCCGCCCCCCCCCCACATCTATATGAAATGTTGATTGAGTGACCAGGCATCATCTCATTGTAGTTTCAGCCAATGAACACCAGCCAGGCTTCTTTGTGTAATTTAGCCTGTAGTGGATATTTGTATTTCTTTATAGATTTTAATCTCTGCCTCAATAATACAGCTGTTTTCATCCTGTTTCATGTATCGCACCAAGACTTCCATTTGAGGATCTCTACAGGTTTCTCACCTGATTTGGTTGAGACAAGCAATACCATGTGTCCTAAGATGATACAATCAGTCCACGGGATAGTAATTCTTCAAAGCATGCATGCTCCTCTGATATAGATAAAATCAGTCTAGCTTCATGGGGACTTTCAGAATTGTGTCTTAAAATGTCCCGAGCTTCTTTTTTTTAGCTTCTTGAAGGACATTCCAAAAGGTACAAGACCTGAATCTGAGGGTCCAATCCCTAAAACTAAGCCTATATTATTTTAGATGGTATTTTGGAATGGACAAACCAATTCTTCCATCCACACAATATCTGATAGTGCATGTAGATATGACTGCTTTAACTTTTTGTTGCCCTCCCGTCCCCCAATACATACAAATGTAGAATGCTGCTGTTTGCACAGATATCACAACCTTCTAACATAACTGAAAATGGCTTTCAACAATTAATGCTTAGGACACAGAAACAGAAAAATATTTATTCCTGTGTTTTGATAGACCTTCATCATTCCCTTCCGTTCTTCTACCTTTGTCCTCTGCCACTCAGTATCCCTAATTCTGTTTAAATGTTCTATTACATGGTGCAGTCAGGCAATCCATTGCCTTATTCTGAAGCAAGCAGCAGAAATGACTCCAGCTGGCAAGAGGAGGTACGTTTTTATATAATTAATAGGAAAGTAAGATATGCTTCTAAAAAGAATCACTATTAGGAATCTGATATATCAAATGATATATGTATTTTCAGAAAAAAAAGGGTAAGGAATAATGTACCAGTTGAGATAAGGACTATGAGGCCATTATGCTGATAGCTCATTAGGTTAGAGAGATTAATTAGGACTGGACTGACCAAAGTAAAGATTTTCTCTCTGCCATGAAACTCCCTAATAACCTGGCTACTATCTTGAAAGGAAAGGCAACATGTATATGAATCCGAAAACGTATTAACCCCAGTTCCTTTTTATAAGTTTCCGATTATTTATAAAAAGTAAAACAAAATGAAATGGGTTGAACTGAACTGAACTGAATGGAATTGGTATTTCAGCCTCTTATTCATCCGTTTTTAAAATATTGGCTCAAATAGTCAACCTACATCTTGCTTCAGGCTTTCTTCTGACAGATGGTAGAGGGCTGCACAAAACCAATTTCACTTTAGAAAAGTACTTTAACACTTCAACACTTTTTCCAGGTGCGGGTCAACCGAATGTTGATCCATTGGCTACCACAGAAATTTACCAAGTGGATTGTCATCCAGGCCTAATTTTGTGGGCTGAAAGAAAATGACTGGCCCAAAGTCACCCAGCCTTCTTTCATACCCAGGGCTAGAACTCACAGTCTCCTGGTTTCTAGCCTGGGATAGGTAGGTAGGTAGGTAGGTAGATAGGTAGATAGGTAGATAGGTAGATAGATAGATAGATAGATAGACAGACAGACAGACAGACAGACAGACAGACAGACAGACAGACAGACAGACAGATATAGCAAACAGATAATAGATAGGCACATATACAGTACTAAAACTTTTATCCCTGTTTGTTTGTAACAAACAATTAGACAAAATTGGAAAGTATAGGGCAACAACTATAGAACCAAGGTAACTCAAATAGGCTAACTTACACAATGCTGGGACCCATGACTGCCATGGGAATGAAATTTAGGGAAATTGTGGGCTCTTCAACACCACCACGCCTTCCAGGTGTACATCCCAGAAACCTGTAAGGTTGCATAGTGAGATGGGGCTGGCTGGGGCCTGCTGGTGGTTGTTCAGTTGCTCCCTGCAAGAGAGATGGCTTTTGGGGACACACCAAGTGGGGAGCAAGGGTAGAGTTTCCACACACTCCACAGATTATTTGGCCCCCTCCCCTCAGCAATGGGTCACAGGTTGTCATGTGTGTGTGTGTGTGTGTGTGTGTGCATGTGTATGTGTGCAATCCTCCCTGGAAAGAATATGTAATACAGAGAAACATACACATACATGTGTACATATATACATACATACACTTACGTACCCAGACATACACAGATACATCCAACTTTAGGAATGAGCGTAGCTTGAGCATTTTGCTTATGTATATACAAGTAATAGCTATTTATTTTTAGCCTAGTTTAAATTATTTCTCTTTTGCTTTCTGTTTAATTTTATTTGACTAAATGATTTGGTTCCATTAGAGAAGCCAGTGTATTCCAAAACTTTCTGTGTTGGGCTACAGTTTAAAGATATCAATCTAAAACTAGCCAGGATAAACCATAAAGGTGCAGAACTCCTAAAAATACAATTGAATTGAAATACCAATGATCAAAATTATACAGGTAGCTAGAGACCCAAGATCCTTTCTTTTGCTAACATTAGTAGCCACTTATCTAAGCTCCTACTCCAGTATCATTTTCTGGTTGGAATATCTAATGAGCAGTTTTACAAGCCCATTTGAATAAAACAAAACAAAAGAAGGATTAAAATCCCTCTTCCTTATCTGCTGCTTGCACAATTCACCAAAGAAATACTTTTGGAATCTTACCTAATCAAAATACGGATTAAAATCTCATCTTTTTGTTTGTCTGTTTAGGCAAAAACCCTTGGAGGTCTGCTTCTGCCGTATGTCACTGTTGTGCTTGAAGCAGTTAGGAGTGACAACGAAAAGCAGGGCTACAGTGTTTCCCTGTATGAAAAGCATCACTACCACAAAACCTATTTCAAAATTGTTGCAAGTAAACTCAACCAAACTAAATGGAGAGCTTGTCTTGACAGCCTTATGCAACCTACCGGATTCCAGGTATTATTATTTTTTTTAAAAATTCCAATGGCAAAGTTGCTTTGTAACTAAACTTCATTGCCTTATACAACAACATATTTTTAAAAATCATTCTTACCCCTGTGCTCTATGTCTTCTTCAACCTCAGGCCTCTGCAGCGGCCTGGGAATTTGAGGGTTCTGTATAGTATCTTAACTGGTCAGTCAAACTGTACATCCAGAAGAATGAGCTCCAATTTTAAATCTTCATTGGTAAATGGGTACCTATTAAAATACTGAAGAATTTAAATTCTTCCATTATTAACAATAAATCATTCTAGTGATTATTTTATTATTTCGCTTTTGCTTTCTGATTTATTTATTATTTTTTACTAAACGATTGGCTTCCATTACAGAAGCCAATGTATTCCAAAACTTTCTTTGTTGGGCTAAATTTATAGCCTAAAATTAATCCAGATTTTTATATTAAATCAAAATCATTTTAAAATCAATGGCATCTTCAAATAGGGCTCTTGAAAGGACTCCAGTACCAGATTAATACTCTAAGATTCACAAAGTAAAAGGGGAAATGCTAATCAAAACTTTAGCAGGAAGAAATTTTAGAATCAAAATGCAAAAACGACAAATATTATTTTTATTTAATCATTCACCATACCCCTATCCATTTTGGTAGCACTCAGCAGGCTTGATTATGATGGAGCAGAAAATATTTCTCCAAATCATTTGGAACAGTCTGGCACAGCTAACAGCCATAGGTTACACAACATTGTGACACAAAGTCCATTAATGAAGCGATGCAACCCCATGATGATCCCTACACACCATTTTTCTGTCAATTTTTATCATATTTTGTGTGTGTTTACATCCTCTTCAAGAATTCTTTGAGCTGGGGACATGAATGCAAGGATTACAGAATAGAAGTCAAGTTGTCCGAGGGCCAAGTTGCAATTTATAAAGCTGTCCAACTGAAAATGAAATGGACCAAACTTCCTTTTCTCCGACACGAACATTATTTCGGGTAAGATCTCTTAACTTCCCATTCTTCCAATGGTGGGTTTTTAAAATGTTTCTTTCAATGGATGTGACAAAATTTCATAGTAGGAAACAGAGGAAGTCCTCGACTTACAACCCAAAATTTCTACTGCTAAGTGAGATAGTTGTTAAGTGGATTTTGCCCCATTTTACAACCTTTCTTGCTACAGTTATTAAGTTAGTAAGATAGTTGTTAAGTGAATCTGGCTTCCCCTTTGATTTTGCTTGTCAGAAGATCGCAAAAAGGTGATCACATGACCCTGGCACACTGCACCATCATAAATATGAGTCAGTTCTAAGCATCTGAATGTTGATCATGTGACCATGGAGATGCTGCAACGGTCATAAGTGTGAAAAACGGTCTTAAGTCACTTTTTCAGTGCTATTGTGACTTCAAACTTCAAACAATGAACTGTTGTAAGTTGATGACAGGGAAGAAATGTGGTTGAAACTTGGGGGAAGGGAATGGAGAAAAAATTGCCTACACAATCTCTATCCATTATCCCCACAATACGCGCACATGCACGCACACACACACACACACACAAGCATAAACACAAATACACCTAAGCAGCAATTTCAGGCCATTTTGGGATTATGGAAAGGGAATTAAGGCTTCTAACCCCACCCTTAATTTTGGGAGGGAGAGAACATTGCTGAATTATGGAGGCTGGTTTCAGGGTGTGGGAAATTTGTTGCCTTTCTTTGAAATAAATCACATTCATAACTTGATTTTTTTTCTAGGTTTATGTATTTACTTCCTGCAGTTGCATATCATTTGGGCTTTTCCACAGTTTATCAGAAGAATCCTGAGCGTGAGATTATATTCAGAGTTATTGAAAAAGCTCCAGGAACTCATGTTGCTATCGTTAAAGTTCCCAGTGTAGGTGATCATTTTCCATTTTCTCGAATTACTAATTCGGTTCCATTTTTGAATTTGGATAATTAATGGAATGGTATAGTGAAAAGGATAGACTGAGCTACAGGCATGTATTTCAAAGGATATAATACTGAGATCATTTAAAAGTTCAAGGTGTAAATTATATCAGTTCCCATCCTTAATTATTTTGTGTGTATGCTTTTCTAGAGTAAGAGACATAAATATAGGCCATTTCCCCACTAATTTTAACCTCTGAAGATATGCTGTTGATCTATTGGTCACCTATCTGAGTAGGTTTATCAACTAAACATGCTTTACTTATTGTTGAAAATCCTAATACTATCTATTACTTGACTTGGGAAGATTTTTATGAAGTAAGAAAACTGGATCAGAGAAATAAATATCAGACTCTTCTCAGTTTGAGGTAGACTTTCAAAAATGTATGCATCCTTATTACCACTGAAAATATGAAAAACAGTACTATAATGTGGATCTCTGCTTACAGTCACTCAGTCGCTTATACATATTTTATGAAAACCCACCTCCCTTGCTTCCTACTTAGTGCAACTATTACCGTGTTTCCCCGAAAATAAGACCGGGTCGGGTCTTATTTATTTATTTTACCTCCAAAAGAGGCACCAGGTCTTATTTTCAGGGTAGGCCTTACCTCACCTCCAGTACCGACAGCCTCACCCAGCCAGTCCACTTCTTTTGGGCCAAAGTTCTGCAGCTGTATTTGGGCCTGCATTTTGCAGTCAGGCCTTTCCAGAAGGCCTAAGCAGCCGAGTACCGAGCTATGGATTCAATTCATAGCTTGGTGCTCAGCTGCTGAGGTCTTGCAGAACCGAGCTATGGATTGAATCCATAACTCAGTTCTTGGCTGCACAGACCTTCCAGAAGGCCCTGTGACTGAGAAATGCAGGCCTAGCTTCAAAAGAGGCCTCAGAAGAAGAAGTGGGCCGGCAAGGAGAGACCTGGCTGCAAGGTAAGTGGGGCAGGTGGGGCAGCTCCACACCCCTATCCCCATCCTAGCTTGATTTTTAGGTGTGTGCCTCGCCCCAAAACTAGGGCTTATTTTTGGGATAGGGTTTATATTAGCCCCCCCAATCAAGCTAGGGCTTATTGTTGGTGTAGGCCTTACTTTTGGGGAAACACGGTAGATAGATGAGACTGAGGGCTTTTTGGCACATAACCCTATTGAGCAAGGGGGGAAGTCTGATAAGAAACACATACTCTTTCAATGGAGACATCTCAATGGAAAGACCAAATTTTCTCTCAGGTATTTTAGCAAAGAAAGTACAACAAGAACTCAGAACGATACTGCATTACAGGTGCATTATGAACATGCACATATAGTCCTTAACTAACAACTATTCATTTAGCAACTGAATGTATGATGGCTCTGAAAAAAAGTGATGAGCAGTCCTTGCCACTTACAACCACTGCAATGTCTGCAGTCAAATGATTGTGAATCAGGTGCTTGGTGATGATCACGCATTTACGATGGTCACAGCTCAATTCTCTATATTTTGCTTTTTAATCTGCATAGTAGGGGCTATTTTATGCATGTATTCTTAACCCCTTTACAATCCATATAAAATTATTGTGATCAAGTAGAACTGGGTGAATGGAAGAAAATGTGTTTTCCTTCCTTGTACTTTGTTTCAATCCATTGTTTATGGCTCAATAAATAAAATAATGGTTTTAAGTGTTAAACATTTCTCTTTACTTAGTGAAATGTTAAATCCAAATGCATTTGTAGCAGCATTGATCTTTATGTTTTCATTATTTTCTTTCCAGAGAACCTTTTACAATGATGATTTCGGTCCCGAATTTCTTTCCTCTGGCATCCCAAGTTCATATTATCAGAATCCAAAATTAAGCAGATTTAATGTAGCTTTATGGCTGTCCAGAGAAGTTGAAGGTAAATTAATGCTGCTTTTACACCAAGCCAGTACCTAGTAGACTGATCAGTATTACCTATGTTTATCTTTTTGTGGCAACTTTTCAGTTAGCATAGAGCTGAATCTAGCTTTAGTGTGGTTTCAGCTGGGCTGGTTGAAATCAATGAGACTTAAGGTAATTATTATGTTGTTTAAGTCTGGTTGATTTCAGCAGATCCACTTTAATCATAACAATGATTAAATATGAGTTAATGATATAATAGTTATAATAATATAATCAATAATGATTCAGCCCATTATCTTGAGCTTTTGCTCCTTAACATCTAGTACCATTCATATCAACTAGAGGTTCTTAAGTAAGCCTTATTCTTAGGTAAATATATTAGCAGGCAATATTTGCAACATGGTTTGAAATTGTTACCTTAATTGTTTATGTAGTAGGATAGGTTTATAGATGTTGCCATGCTTAATGTAATTATTAGGCAAAAGTTGAGAATTTGTTTAGGCTTTTCACTTTCCAATAGATAGGACTGAAGTTTAACTTTGACCCTGCTATTTATTCTCTTCTCAGCTGTATGTGAGGTGCAGGGTGAAATCATTAAGACCTTCGACAACAAGATATTCAACACGACTATTGCCAAGAGAGAAGGCAACCTTCTGATAGTTAAGGATTGCACCACATCTGACAGTTATAAACCACTCTTCCAAATATGGATCCAATATCCCACACCTGGTTTCCCAAAAGAAATTCACATATCCATTAACATAACGTAAGTTTAACCAAATGGAAAGTTTCTTTTTAATAGCTTCTTTTCTAATAGTTTTTTTTAAAAAACATAGCTTCTGTGTCCAAGATAAGGTTGTTGTTGTTTTTTAGAAATTATTCTGTCATTCTTGATAAGAGGATTTCTTATAATCTGGGCTTTTAATTTATCAATTTAAAAAAATCATGCAAAGATGGCCAGGTTTTATGAATAGTGAAGGCCATAAAAACCCATTCAGTTTGAACATCTCAACTAAGGCAGCCCTACAGGGACTTACAGAAATGAATTTCAACATGATCATTCAAAGTTCAAAACTTCGCCCATTCATGGAATTCCTAGCAAGCCTAAACCTCTGAGTCTTTAGGGGTAAAGAGTAAAATGTACTTCCCATCATCTGGTAGTCATGCTGTTTTGGTTTCTAATTAAAGCTGGAAAACATATGATCCATACAAATCATTGGATCTCATACTTCTTACTTCATAACTGTATAAGGCAATAATAGAATTACTTTGCAAAAAAATAAGCACAGCACAAAAGTGCTGATATCAATAATTAGTTGCCTTCTCTAAACATATATTCTAGAATATAATATGGCTGCTTCCAGCCTTGACAGAATTACAGGACAGCCTTCATCTGAACAAGCTTATAGCCATGAATGTGAGTTGCAGAGAATTACTTTTAATTAGTAAAAAAATAAAGAAAAAGAAACAGAGTTTCTAGAATTCTTACACAGATAGCTTAGGTCAGGGGTGTCAAACTGCCGGCCCACGGGCCGGATGCGTCATCCCAAAACCGCACCCACCCCATTGCTGGCAATGGAGAAAAAGCTCCGATACGTCGCGCGACATCACGTGACGTCATGAGTTTGACATGCCTGGCTTAGGTGCTTGATAACCTTCTATCGATAGACTTGTCATAAATACTGTTACATTAAAGTCTATGAAATTACTATTACCTATTGTGTCATTTACATACAGGCATTTTTCAAACAATGTGAGGACATAGCTGTAAAACAACAGGGTTAGAGTTAATGAATTACTTATAAATAATATATAATATAATAATATATTATAAATTTATTAACAAATATTAAATAAGAAAAACAACAGAGACATTGTAAGGTAGCATGAACAGGGGAAGAATCTTTATTTCTTTATGACATTTAGTTTTAGTTGAAAAGGATCAGTCATGGTATAGGAGAAGTGCGCTAGATGATTTGAAGTAACTCAGTATGAGTTCCGATAAAAGAGAATATTTGTGCACTGATAATGTTACCTAGTTTGATAATGAAACATCTGCAAGAAAATAACCAAGCTTGGAAAGCACCAGTATATGTTGTTGGTTTGTCGTTGTATGTTGTTGTTTATTCATCCATTTCCTCTAGCTAGATCATCAGTGGGAATTTTTTTCAGGCCAATCTGAATTATATAAGAACATGACATCTTTTCAACCCTAGGCAACATCAGATCTTTCTCTATTGGGGTGGTAAGAAGAAATATCTGCTGCAAACTCCACATAGGTGTCAGGAAGGGCATCCAGCCAGTAAACACTCAGCTCCATTCAGTTGTCCCAACTCCATCCCGATAAAAGGGAATACAGGGTCATAAAAAGAAGAAAAAATGGCATCTGTTTTCATGTTACCAGAGCTACAACTTTAGTACTTTGGATCAAATTCCATCTGTTCAAGCTATAGTGGGTATAGCAAAAGCATTTCTTCAGAGAAAGGCTGACTCTTTTCTGCTAATTATTATCCTGTGTTCCTTTGTTTAACTTTCTAACAAAATGCATTTTTTGTTTTTCCCAATGGCAGAGAAATCATAATCCAAGATACCCCAGGGATGCTGACTGTGTTACTTAATGAAGCACCAATACCAATAAACAAAGAAGGTACTGCATCTGATACCCTATTCTATCTTAGATAATAGAAATCAGTTCATATACTCCATATAGTCTGGCTCTGTTGCTTTATTTTTTTAATAATTATTTATTGAATTACTTAGTAGTAATTTCTACATACCATAAGAATGTAGCAAAATGCATTTGAATAGAAAGAAACATTTATCAATAATAGGGTAACTCCTTTTGGTTGACTGAATATCCTGCCCACAAACTGGATGTGCATATTTGCACTTCGGGCAAATTAGCATCCCAGAATTTGAAAGATCTGATAGAAAACATGATTGGATGGAAAGAATCACATCCTGAAGCAAGAACCACATAGAATTAAGGGTTTGTATGCATGTTTAAAAACTCTTGCAATAAACAACCAGCCTTTTAAAGCGATGTTTTCTCTTTGCAGCAAACATTGAAATTTTTAGAACAACCAACAATGTTAATGTCAAGGCTCCCGGATATGGCCTGGAAAGTGTGGTATATGATGGTGTCACACTGACAGTAAGTCAAACTGCTGTTTTTGTGCAAGAATTCTTTAAAAAATGGTATTGCAAGAAAATTCACTTGAGCTTATATGGTAACATCTCATTTATTCATGTAGATAAAAACTTCTGCAAAGATACAAGGCAATACCTGTGGACTTTGTGGAGACTACAATGGAGAAATAAAACGTGAAACCCTGATCCCAAATCAAGCTGGCACTGAGCAATACTGATTTTTTTAATTCAGCAGGATTTAGGTAAGCTTGTCACATTTGAACATTTTAGAGATAGAAAATAATTGTAAATTAATTAAAATAACAGTGCTTTTGATTTTAAAATATCCATATAATGCTGAATCTGAAAGAAACTGTTCTATTTCTGCCTATTGGTTTCATAAAGGATACATATAAAAATCTAGTTAGAGAACTCAAGAAAGAACTGGCACCTTATTTTTCTCATCCGTTAGTTTCTTTCCCAAAACATGAAAAGAAATTATACAAAGTTAAGATATGATGGTAGACATCCATAGGTAGAAATAGTGCATCCTTCAGAAGTTCCTAATTAACTCTAGTAGAATTATACTAGGAGTAACCTCTGACCATATGCCTCCATACCAGTTCAGTAGCGATCACAACTTTTGATCACAGGAAGAGAAAGGGAGGAATGAAACACCATGCCAGCATCTAGCTCAGGAGTAGGCCACCTTGGCTCTTTTATGACTTTTATGCTGGCTCAGGAATTCTGGGAGTTGAAGTCCACGAGTCATAAAAGAGCCAAGGTTGCCTACCTCTGATCTAGCTCATAACACACATTATTTTCCTAAGGGGATAACTCTGCACATCCTGGAGTTACTAAAAAGAAAAATTAGGGCTGCCATAATAGCTTTTTTCCAGTACCTGAGAGGCTACCACCGAGAGGTAGGGATCAATTTATTTTCCAAAGTCCTGGGGATCGGACAAAAAGAAATAGATGGAAGCTCGTTAAAGAGAGATCCAACTTGGAACTAAGAAACTTGGAAACTTCTTGACAATGAGAAAAATTAACCAATGGAAGAGTTTACCTCCTGGAGTTATGGGTGACCATTGCTAGAAGTTTTCAAGAAAGCTGAGCAAGGGCCAGGGCATTTGACTAGAAGACCTCCAAGGTCCCTTCCAGCCCTATGGTTTTATTTTCTTCAAACCAAGATTTATCCCTTTTCTGACCAGGATTGTTGTTCTGTCACATTTTACTTAAAATGAGAAAATCAGCTATTTCCCTGAAATGCTCTGTTCCTTAATGTAGCAATTGAGAGCTTGAAACATTTGAAGTGTTCTCCTTTATGGGATTTGGGATTTGTAGACAGACGCCATTTGTATCTGGTTAAAAAAAAATCACCCTAAAAATAATAATTAGTTGATTGTTTAAAAATTGTATTTATAGATAAAATCATGAAAATAAAATGTCTAGCTTTTTGTAATCCCACACCTGTTCAAAAATTGTTTTGACATTCATTACTAACTCAAATGGAGAATGATATTGTTTTATATAATCAAAAAGCCTACAAAATTTTCCTTCAATGTATTTGCTTTGAATTCTATTATTTATTCATATTGATTGTGTTTTTTGTGACAGAAACTGCAACGGACTCGGTTTAACCCAAGAAGACCCAAGAAGATTCAAGAAGACCCAAGAAGATTTTGTCAGCAAAATCTGATTCAAGATAGGAAAGACCTTGTGAACATTTCCCAGATAACCTCTCTCAGACAAACACTTTGTCCCATAGATGAACTAAATAAATTGAGGGATGTGGAAGTCCTATATAATATGAATATTTTATGCTAATTGGAAATAAATAAAAAATCAAATGTGCTAATCACTGGATGAAGGTCTCAATAAATGCATATCATATTAAATAAATTTGCATGGCCTTTCTTATTGTTTCTTATCCCCAGAAAATATACAGCTGAAAATAAAGTAATACCACCATTATTTATTAGCAAGAGGCCAACTCAGTTATTAAAACAGATTGTCAAAACGATAAGTTTTGAAGTAAGTTAACATGTGAATTACTAAGTACATCATAGCAGAAGTCCCTAATGTGTTGATGCATTCTACCAGCCTATCCCAGATGAAAGCACACATATCAATAATGCAAAATATCAGTCATGTTCCCATCAGACTTTTTTAGGGGGGGATGGAGCCCTAGCCTCACAAAATGATTTGGTTTGTAAGATTAGGGGCAATGAACACCAGACCTTAATATCAGTGCCGTCATATTTAAATCTGGATTAATCTAGATTATCTTCCAGTGACCTTTTGTGATTATATGGCCAATAAATCTATTTCATAACTAGAAAGTTCCATTGCATTTAACCATGAATAAGCATATAGATACAGAATCGGTAGCATCCAACTTACCTTAGCTCAGAAGCTAAGCAGGTCAGGCCTCAACAGTGTGTTGATGGGTAACCTAACAGTACTAGACTATAGTCAGTGGTGGGATTCAAATGTGTGAACAACCAGTTCTCTGTGTGGATGCCACTTCCGGAAGTCCATTCTGGGCCTGGGCAACAAAAAATTATCTACCGGTTCTGCCGAAGTGGTGCAAGCCAGCTGAATCCCACCACTGACTATAGTCTGTGAATGTAAGGAAATATTTCAATAAATACAGCACTAAACTACTGCTCTGTGTTGCCAGGAAGTCACTAGGACAGGGGTAGGCAACCTTGGCTCTTTTATGACTCATGGACTTCAACTCCCAGAATTCCTGGCTCAGGAATTCTGGGAGTTGAAGTCCATGAGTCATAAAAGAGCCAAGGTTGCCTACCCCTGCACTAGGAGGCGAGTTGGACTTGAAAAAGAATTTTGTCTATAAGCAGATGTGGGACTGAAGCCTCAGAGAGGTTTTTAATGCGCTGAGAAAGCAGATCAAGAAAGAAATGCTACAGAAATTTTGTCCTTCCAATTTTGTGTGATAATTATATCGAGAACACCCCTATGTTAGATGCAACATAGCAAGCAACTTACTTGCTTGCAGTAAGTTTGAGAAATAATTACATGAGTAAAAGTCTGGTGCAAGCTGGTAGACGTTGGCCAGAATAAGTCAGGAAACTGAAATAAGTCAGAATCAGAGGAATAAGAACCTTGAGAGAAAAAGTAATTAGGAGACAATTAAGAGAGAGATAAAATGACCGCAGCTAGATAGCTTGGGGCCAGTGAAGGAAATTAGAAGTAAGGACTTGTGTGGTTTCAAGGAGCAGGAAGCCGGAAACAAAACCTGGGAGACTTAGAAAATGTATTAAAAATTGTGCTGCTGGGGTGCAAGAGAGCCATAACCAGGGAGAAAAAGAAAAAACGATTAGCCTAGAAGCAGTGTTTCTCAACCTTGACAATTTTAAGGCATGTGGACTTCAACTCCCAGAATTCCACAGCCAGCAATGCTGGCTGTGGAATTCTGGGAGTTGAAGTCCACATGCCTTAAAATTGTCAAGGTTGAGAAACATTGGCCTAGGGCAAGGCTAGGAAAAAGAAGGAAAAGGAAAAAATTAGCCTGGAGAGAGATGGATTGAGAAATAAGGAAATAAGAGATGAAGTTTTAAAGAAATAAAGGCTACTTATGCTAAGCAAGAGATAAAAGGAAGAAAACAGGAAGCTTTTCTTGTTTGACCAACTAGGGGTCCCACTTCCTGAAGCTAATAAGAAAGAAAGAGAACTTGGGGAGACTAAGTTTATAGAGCTTTGCCAAAAAAAGAGAGAGAGAGACCCTGGCAGTTTCACATATGAGGAACTTGCCTAGTGGAAAAGGATCAAACTTTGAAGAGCCAGGAGGAGAAGCAGATTGGGTCAGAGAGAACATCCAGCCCAGAAGAAAGATATAGCAGGCAGGAAGAATAAAAAAAAAATGGCTTCATGAGACTTTTGCTGACCCTATTGCAAAGGGAGAAGGAGAGAACTGGTGTGGTAAGGTAAAGGTTTCCTCTGTCCAGTCATGTCTGACTCCAGAGAGGGGTGTTCATCTCCGTTTCCTAGCTGAGACAGCATTGTCCAAGACAGCTTCCCTGATTATGTGGCCAGCATGACTATACACTGAGACTATACACCTTTCCACCAAAGTGGTACCTATTTATCTATTCACATTTGCATGCTTTCAAACTGTTAGGTTAGCGGGAGCTGAGGCAAGAACAGGAGCTCACGCCGTTATGCAGTATTTGGACCTCGAACTGCCAATCTTCCAGCCAACAAGCCCAGCATCTTAACCACTAGGCTACTACCACCCCCTTATATGGTTAGGTTAGATATGTACTGTACCTTTAAAATGGGCAGTAAATACAGTCTGCTTGGTTTTCAATGAATCCTCTTTATCAGAAAATGAGGACTCACCCCAATGTGTTCAAGAGCTCAGAGCTGCTAAATTTATCCTTGTACCTCAACTATCTTGCTTGCATTTCTCTAATGCAAGTAGTAAAGCTATTTTATTTGTTGACAGTTAAAGGTTTTATTTTCTTTTAATTGAATTTGCAAAAGAAGAGAGAAGAATTACTTCTTAGAATCCTGCTGCTGATTGGACACTCGGTGTCAGGCTTTGATTAAAGTGAGCAGCAGAAATAACAGACATNATATCCCTATTTCAATATTTCTGATGCACCGGCTTCTCGAACACACAGTTTCTTGTTAAAATTGCAAATACGTATGTCATTTGATCATTGTAACCTCTTCCAGGCCTTCTAAGTCTATTCTTCTTATAGTCACAGAAAGGATAGATGTAATTAAGCCAGGTATATTTTTAAACAGTTTTCAGACTGCCTGGAGTTATGCCATGGTAACACACCCTGACCCCAGCTATAACTCCAAAAATATACTGAGCATCTTCAGTTTCATTGTGAAAAGTTCAGTTCATCCTGAAACATAGCTCTTTTAATGAAAGTGTGTATCTTCTTCCTTACCTAAGCCTCATGTTCAATTGATGCCATGCCCTGTTTCACATCAGCTGAAGGTCTCTAATTCTTTTTTTTTTCCTCCTTTTTTCTTTTGCCTAGTGCGGTAACTTTCAAAGCATTCTTTCTCTGTAATTTAGAAATGGGCCACAAGTTTCTTCATCTCCCACCAAACAGCATAACATAAAAGTAAGTGACATGCGATCGTACGGGAGAAAAATATTCTCTGCTTGATTTTATTTTTTTTCCTAGTTGCTATAAAAAAAAGAGAGTGAGAGAGGACAAGTCAATTCTTTTTTTTTTTCCCCAAACATCAAGAGAACCTGTATCCAGCTTTATAGTGCATTCAAAGACTTAACTGGTACATTTGAATTGAATGTATGCTGGTATTGTCAGCTGCAACCCACTAGTTCCAGAAGAGAACTGACATCCAACATGTTGAAAAGAAATAAGAAGGATAGAGCAGTTGCTTGCTTTTTATCTTTAGTAGCACAGAGAAGAGCGACTATTCATGCCAAGTCAAGCAAAGTTTTGCTCCCAAAGTGGCTTCAGATATAATAAGACTCCCTTCAGGGGGAGAGGGAGAAGAGTAGGACAATTCACTTTCTTTGATTTCATTAATGACAGAAATTAGGTATGTTGTATACTGTATTACTTCCATTTTTAAAGAGAGCTTCTTCCTTCCTTCCTTCCTTCCTTCCTTCCTTCCTTCCTTCCTTCCCTCCCCCCGTCTCTCTCTCCTATTAAAGACAACAATTTGTATTCATTTACGGTTCAATTATGGGATAATTGAGAATCTATTCGGAGACAGAAAACATCCTACCAAGGCTACTGGCTATGAAAGCAGACATTGTAAAATCTAATAATATACCTTGATCTACACAAGGAACAAAAGGCACACACACACACACACACACACACACATAGAATACAGAAAATATCTTCCCCCAAAGTTGTAATTTACATTGGATAATTGGAATCACCAATACATTGAAAATCATTTTTTTCTTTTTTCTTTTTTTTGTAAGTTTTATTAATTTTTAAAAACTACAGTCTTTAGAGCTTAGTAAACAACATGTTGTCTGGGTTCACATATTTAACATTAACTTCTTCAATATAAATCTATTCAGTACTGCACAATCCAGCATTTTTTCCTTGACCTTCCTTTCTTCCCCATATTTCTTCCCTTTTCCCCTCATTAGACAATTACGATTCTTGGTACTATTGATGTATACAAAATTAGATATAGACATCTTCATCATATTTTTATAATATTATACAAACAACAATAATATCAATTCATAAGTCAATATCCTGTTTTTTGTGCTCTTATTAAGGTGTGATTTCCCATCAGTATTTAAAGTATCTTTGCCAGTTATGATTTTCTCAATATTAATTACATTTATACAGCTAAAAAAATTATTCATACCAATCCTCTTATTTTCAAATTTCCCATATCAAAAGAAAAAAATGCTACTTTAATTCTAAATCATATTTTCCATTATAAAAATCTAGTTATATCTAAAGGTCATCTGTTCTTTTAATCATATTCAAACAGGTATATTAAACAGATAGTGCCCTCTCTGATAGATCAAATCCTCTGTTTTTTTAAATCTAACTCTCTCTTTCTTTGCCAAGTAGCTTTCCAGGCCAAGGCAATTAAATTATCCAAGAATTTTCTTTCTATTTTTGTGAAAGTTGCTTGGCATGAGGAAGACAATTTAGGCAGAGTATTGGGGGGGGGGGTAACTCCGCCCATCCGCATTCCCTAAACATTTCCCCTGGCCGCTGCATGTTCCATTTTCTAGAATCTTCTTCCTTGTCATCAGGTGTATTTTGGAAAAAGGAGTAAAGGGTCTTTTGTATTTTCATTGTTATAGGTAGATCTTGCAGTATTTTATTTGTGTATGGCAGTCCATATTTCCCTTCTCCTATCTCCTCCATCTCTAGTTTATTTGGTTTATTTGTTCATACTTTGTAGTCATTGTCTGGGAACTTTCC